AGAGGGGGGGGGGGGGGGGAGAGAGGAGGTGCTGCTTACCGTTTTTGAAGGTTGGATTTAGGGTTTGGTTGAAGAGCTTCGAAGATGGCGATGCCGAAGCCCGTTGGATCTCTGAAGAGCAGTATTACTTTTGGGGCCACCTTCATTTCTTCTTCTGCAATGCAATGAAATGGAATGCCCTAATTCGCCTGTTTATAGTACTGGAAACATTTCGGGTCGTTTGGTACTTCAATTCGGGCTCAAGAAAGATCCATGGAGCACTTAACACCTTGTTTGGATGGTTGTTACTTAGATTCTATTATATCGTATCATTTAAATTCATCATCACGTAATAACGAAAAGACCTACTATATGTAACGACTGAGTTGGTGTAATCGCGTCGTTACCTTAATATTTTCTTCTCATTTTATTTACTTTTCTTGTAGGCTTATCACTCAAATTATGAATGTGTGACATCACGTAAAAATGAAGAAATGATATAATATATCCAAATATTGTATTCATAACAATACAGTACGATACAATACGATACATTATAAAACAATGTGTAACAACCATCCAAACAAAGTGTAAGTAACAGTAGACAAAAATGTATATTATATAAATAAGAGAGAAGTATTGAAAAATCCCTAAATTTGGCGCGGATTATTGATTTCATTCTCGAACTATTAACAACCTTAAAAACACTCATTTACTTGACTAATTGAACTAAAATACACCCCTAAATTCCCGTCAAATTTAGAGGTGTTTTCAACACTTCTCTTGTTTTTTTTTATTATTAAGAGTTTGTGCTTCTACAAGAGTTTGAAATCATTTATTGTGTCATGTGACATATCGAGGGTGTATCTAAATTTAGTTAGTCAAATAGAGTGGTGTTTTCAATGTTGTCAATTATTCAGGATGAAACTAATAATTTACATCTAGTTTAAGGGTGTTTTCAATACTTCTCTCTACAAATAATATGTAATTATGTATATAACTACATATCAAATATGTATATACATTTATATCTACATTGCAACAATTCATCTTTCTTAACGAGTTCATTTCTTTTCGACAAACTTAAATCTCCTCTACACAAATTTTAGATATGAACTCCTTTCAATGTTTCAAACTTTTCGATATATTATTCGTTCAAACGGTTTACATTTGCGATAGGTTGAACTTTAAAATTTGAATTTCGAAACTGAAGAATTGTTTCATTTTTCTTTCTCGCGCTCCTTCTTCGTCACCTTTCATGACTGTTTTTCTACTTCTCTTCCTTATTTTGCTCTCCACAATATGTTCCTTTCTTCTTCCCTGTTTGCTCCCTGTAATTTTGGTTTGATTTTGCCGCCGAAATCGAAAAAAAATATTATTGATTTATTGGATTTCGTTATTGATATAACAATTTTAAAATAATTTTGTACTTTGTTATATTGGTCTATTTGTTCAATTATTAACTTTTAGAGTTTACTTAATGACTAAACTAATAACTAAATCGTTACAAACCAATAACCTATAATACGAAAATCATTTACTTAATAGTGATTAATATAAAAGTCAAAAACAGTTAATTTAGCTTAGTGGTTCTCTTAAGTGAAGAAATTGAATATTAATTTATTAATAAATAGAAATAAGAACAGAGAGGAAAAGTATTCAAGTAGGTTCCAAAAAGACATTATTTTTTATTGGTTAAACCGATAACCAAATCGTTACAAATCAATAACCAATCGATAACACGTACAAAAGGCTAATTCATAGATGCATGTTAGTTTACAACAATTGCTTTATGACTTCAGTCGGTAAATGAAATCAACTCCTCAGAGCCAAACTGCATTTACTATGGTTCCTACACCAGAAAATACAGAAGCTAAAACAAAAGGTAGCTCATTCAATATCGAAAATGTACGCGATACTATCACCATCTCGATTCTCGGCTAATACCTGCCTAAGTACTACAGAGATTACATGATCTTACCTACAGGAATGGTCACACAATACTATCACCATCTCGGCTGCTTTGCTCGTTTTGCTCTCCGTCATCATCTGTATTGTTCTTATCCCCCTTTACACGTTGATGCCTATTTCTATTTCCAGCTTTTGAGCTTCCACCATCAGTTTCGGCAATAAGACCAGTCTGGATTGCTTCCAAATACAACACCTTCACCAAATTCTTGAAGCGTCTTCTGAATGTCGGTACCCGAGAAAATGAACCAACAATGCCCTGCAACCTGTTGGTTTGTAAAGGCATTGTTCAATCCTCACTCTAGATTTCAATAAAAATTAGGTGTACAAGTTTTTCCATGGAAGCAATAGTTATTATATTATGATTGCAAAATGTTACAAGTTCGTATAGCATTTCATAAATATAAACTTACCTCCTAATAACAGCTTGCAACTGTGCTCTCCTCACAGTATCGGTGGATGGAAATCCGGTGTTGTCCCATTCCTCTGGCCTTTCATTTTTGTAACACATTATCAACTTCCTCAGACTAATTTCCTCATCTTCTCCTAATTGTAGTGTTTTTATTTGCTCCTTAATGACTAAGAGAGGCGCAAGGAACCACTCAAACACTTTATCCTTTGGCCAGTTAGACTTTGTCAGTTCCACTTCATCAGCTGTATAGAGCATGTGAGACATTACTTCTTCCTAAAGCTAATACATAGGCGGAAGACAAGGAAGAGAAAAAGGCAGTTTGAGAAAAGACATACAAATTAGTAGGCCCAGAGAGTCGGACTGTGCGGATGCAAGCAGACACTGTAGAATGGACCAAGCAGGCAATTTGATACCTAACTTCTTACAGTCCCCCTTGACAATACATTCCTCAATATCTTTGACATCTATAAAGCCTTCACGCAGGAGTATTCTGCCATTGACCTCACAGGATTTAAAGAGCCAACCCCATACCTGCCGCAGAGTTACATTTGGGTTAAAAACATAAAGAACTTAAGTGGGCTGAAGTGATTACACATATGGACTTATATACCTACCTGCATGGGCGTATATTGTTGGATTGCCTGTTTCAGCGTTCGTGATCCATGCGAAACAAGCTTCAAACTGCGTGATCCTTCTTTTTCTTTTTCCTTCCTCTGCTCAATTAACTTCTTACTGTCAAGGCCTCCAGAGGAGATCATATTTCTTCTATATTTAGGCCTGGCTGCCGGAAGAATTCAACATTATTGATGGCATCATCAAGTTATTTCATAACATTGATAAATAGGTCGATTTCTTTCAGATCATAAATGTAATAAACTAGCGTTGGCGGACTACACTATGCTGTCAATACCTCATGAAGCATGACCCTTCCCTCATGTCAAGTAGGTCGTTTGTGTATTCGTCAAATATGGAAACGGCTGCTAGGATGTATGCAAGTCCCATGCGAAACGAGTCTTCCTAGCAAAACTCGTGTCACTTCAGTAAGAATCAGACAACGTTCTAAATGAGACATAGTGCCTCTCAAACTTCAAAGCTGGCTCATATGATTACTTAGTAAAACAGAGGAAGGAGGAGAGCATATAGACCTGATGAACCACAACCCCGCTGTAAAGTGCAAGAGCAAAACTTGAAAAGAAGGACGCTACCACGGATCCAACAACAGCTAAAGGCCACAAAAAGATTGCAAGGCCAGCAAAAGGTACACAAACAGTCTCCAGAAATGGGCCTTCTCTCCCAATTAAGTCTTCTAGTAGCCTCTTCCAGCCCCTGAACAGCATGAATGGGCTCTTCCAAAGAGCAAGAGCTGTAATAAGAGGGACATCCACTGGAATCGCAAGCAGAGAAACCAAAATGCAACTTGGCAGCTTTGACAACCTAGGACACAGCACGATAATGAAAATATGGTACACTGTAATCTACCATCTGTGTCTAATGTTTTTTAAAAAGAGGTTCAGATATCACTCACTTCACTTCTATTGGTTTCTCATCTGGATATATTTCCTCAGAAAGCTCGTCCATATAAGAAAAATAAGAGTGGAAGCAAAAGTCTGTAAAGTCTCGAACTACCGTGCAGCTCCTTTTAAGAGTGGAAATACAACCATCCTGATAATTTTATCAACTATAATCTTTGGCATGTAAAATACATGATTACATTTGAACGAACAGAAGAACTCAAATTTATACATACAAACACACATAAAAGCACATATATATGCTCTTTTTTTATAGGTAAATTTTTATTTTTTTGATAACCGAGAAATCCGTGGCTTGAACCTGCGACCTAAGCCACAAATCCTCCACCTTTTGCCACTCGAGCTAGGCCTTGGGGGCTTTTTTTTATAGGTAAATTTCATGCACATGTTATTCTATTGAAGAGCTAGAAGTCTTTGGATCTTTTCATGAGCAATTAACTCTATATAACTATAAATAAGTGATCAGTTACAAAAATCCGCCAATATAAAGCATAAACAAACTTGAGAGAAATTCATAAGGAAAAAGGAAACGACTACAAAAGCAAGATGAATGAAGGTTATAAGCAAGAGTATGTTCTCCCTTCCATTTTTAAGGAAAATGATAACAGAGAAGTACTTGATCAGCTAGAAAAGCTAGTGGCACTCAGAACACTTGGATGTTCTGGCTACTTTAGCAAAGGCCAACATCCAGAAGAAAACTAAATAAACAGATGAATTACGCCATCATATGTCCTGGAAATTTATATTTTCCAATCAAGTTCCTAGATAAAGCATGAATAATTATGAAGCCAGCTAGCAAAAGCTCGTGACAAATGTTCAGCATATCAAGAAAATGAAATGACCCATCTGTTAACTATAAGGATCAATGTCTCATCTAACAATGTGACTAAGAGCAATTCATCTACTTATCATTGTGGAGACGAAGACTCACCGTGAAGCAGTGATAGATCTTGCAAGTGATACTCTCTCCAATAGCCTCGAAAGTTGCTATCAAAGGAGCGAAAAAACCGTACCCTATCCCACCTAGAAGACTCCCAATAATGGCTACTATGGGCCAAAGAATCAGAGGAACTGGCAATGAAACCAGTAATGCAATCTTCAAAACCCATCCAAGTCTCTTGCTTCTGAAATGTGAAACAATGCACAATAGCTTCTATATCAGATACACAGTATATGGATATTCTGTACTATAATAACCCATACAACAAGAACATTGGCAAGAAAACACATACTTTGCTACACAATAGTAAGTCCAGATTAAATGTGCAGGCCATAGCCCAATTACAACTG